CTGGCAGGATAGGACAGGAGCCAAAACCCTGCCTTGTTACACTGCTGTTGTGTCTTGATCCTGATCCTACTAAGAGGGGGCGCCTACCACTCACACAACTTAGAGCAGTGGTTCTCAACCTTCTGGCCCTTTAAATACAGTTCCTCATGTTGTGACCCAACCATAAAATTATTTTCGTTGCTACTTCATCACTGTAATGTTGTTACTGTTATGAATCGTAATGTAAATATCTGATATGCAGGATGGTCTTAGGAGACCCCTATGAAAGGGTTGTTCAACCGCCAAAGGGGCCGTAACCCACAGGTTGAGAACCGATGACTTAGCGGATCATTCGGCCTGAGGATCAGCAGGACCTCTTCTGGGCTGTGACATCATTTCTCGTTAGGTTTCTGGGTGTGTGCAATCGTAGGCTAAGACATCAACTGATTATTCAGCTCTAGGTTTTTTATTTTCTTTGTTGTCAGGTACTAGACGCAGGGGTGGGCAAACTTTTTGACTTGAGGGCCACAATGGGTTCTTAAACTGGACCGGAGGGCCGGAACAAAAGCATGGATGGAGTGTTTGTGTGAACTAATATAAATTCAAAGTAAATATCATTACATAAAAGGGTACGGTCTTTTTTTTTTAGTTTTATTCATTTCAAACGGGCCGGATCCGGCCCGCAAGCCGTAGTTTGCCCACGGCTAACTAGAGGCTCACATGGTTATCTCATTTGCATACCTTATCTTAAGAAGTGCTTGGCCCATAGATGACAACCAATAAACTTGTTTCTATTTCTAATAAAAGGTTGATTGGTGATGTGAATAGAGTGTAGGATGGACTTAAAAAGACCTTTATATTTATCAGTGTACTTCCCTTGCCCTCATACTGGGACATAGAGACTGTAACTTATTTTTATATTTTTACAACATTTAGAACCTTCCTTCTTATATGCAATATTACTATCAATAAATGATTGTTGAATAAATGCTCAATAAATATTTGTTGAATTGACTTTTAGGCCGGGTCTCCTTCCATAAAGATGAAATGAATTCATTTTATATAGTCTTTTAAAATGGCTTTTGTCTGTAACTTTATATTTTGTCCTCAGAGGCAAAGTCCATGATCAATGTCTACAACATGTTCATTTCTTTAGGATGGGAAATGCAAGAGATTTAGAGAGATGTAGAAACCAAGAGAATTGGCAATCAAGTAACTCAGTTTCTTGTCATTTTCATTAAAAGGGGCAAAAGACCTTGGATGTTCATGAGACAGTGAAATTAATGGTGCATCCTAATTAAGTGAATGCTCATCCTCTTTTCTTGATTGCAGTGCCCTACAAAATACAAGGAGAAAATGATCAAATTGTTCCATTCCAGTCTCTCCATGAAAATAAACATCCCCCCTCCTTGTCCGTCTTTGTCTTGTGGTCTCATGCAGTCAGGGAGTTGGGGGTAAATAAGATGGAAAACCACCAACATGTTTCCCCCACCATGGAGCTGATAGTCGGAGACATTGCTCTGAAATGGGTTGGGCTCCGAATTCCGTTAGTTACGCATTTGAAGACATAATCAGTCGTACAAAAACGCATGCGGCCATATCACAGCTACTCAACCAAAGCTTCCAGAATGCTTCTCTTACCCCAGCCTTTTATGGGATCAAAGGGTGTAACGGGAACCCCCCCCCCAGACTTTGGATTTCCCATTTTGAATCTTCTGCTTAGCCTGTGACTTTTGGGAAATGAATTAAGTTCTTTGAGGCTGTTATTTCATGAATGAAATGTTTATAACCCAATGATGCACTTGGTATTAAGAAAATCCATTTAAAGAAGCAGGCCTATAATAGCCTCTTAAAGATTCTATGCATCTTTCTCCTTAATAATTAGAAATTTGTATTCATGAACAAATTGGGCTTTGAATAAATGTGGATTTTGTTTTCCATCCTTAGGACATAAAATGACCAATATAAATTCCCCATATGTGTTCCATCTTTTGCAGTATTTCAGATGCATGCAAAATTTTAATTTTACAAGAGCACATTATAGGATTTATAAACATATTTAGATTGTATTCTTGTTTTTTTACAATCCAGGTAGTAATGATAACTGCCAATGGATGGTAATGTTGATATTTGTCTTTTAGGCTTTCCATTAAAAAAAATAGCTTGCATGTCATACTCAATTATTGATGTATCTGAAAGAATGAGGAAGACTGATATGGCTTCAACCACTCCAGAAAATTGAACACTCCCAAATGGTTGAAGTTATACAGCTTTTCTCCTAATGATGGAAGCCATTTTTTAATGGAACGTGGATTTTTTTTTGCAGGTTTTCATCACTCTGCAGTGTCTTCATCTCTGCATTTATTTCATAATGTGTGTGGTTTCAGACACAAGTCAGAGTTTAATTAATCATCTTACTTTGAATGTTGATTCATTTAGAGATTTTAATGGATTACTACGTATGAAATACATTAGATGTTATGCTTACACTTAAAAGAACAAGGAACCAGGGTAATGCAAAGTGTGCTAAAATACCAACCACAGATGTGCACTGAGGTAATCCAGGAGAGGATCTGTTCCATGTAAAATTAAACTGTGTAGTTTCTGAGAAAGTTCTGAGTACCAACCAGATTTGTACCTAAGGTAAGAGCCAGCCAGGGGATATAAAGCCCATGGCTCCATTTTGAAGTCCATCAAATGGAACCATCTGATGCTCACATACTTAAATCTATAACAATAAAAGGGTAATATGCTAATTAGACCAGATGTCCTTCCGGACGTCCTTCCTTCTGGAAAAAGCCATAGCAGGTGGGGGCCGTGGCAGAGGTCCCCAGTGGCGGCAGTGGCAGGTGGGGGCCAGGGCCAAGGCCCTTGCACGAATTTCGTGCATCAGGCCTCTAGTTATCTAATAAACGTTCAGTATTATAAACTGTTTTAAGCCTACGAAACCATAGGACGCAAAATTATTTTCTTATCCTGTATCTTATTTTTTTCTCTCCAAGTATTTTAAAGAACAGCAACCTCCCATTTATGTGATATAACATTTTAACAAATCTGATCATATGTTTTGTAATCTACATCATCAAACAATTGCATTTTTTGAATAGCAAATTAGGCAAATAGGTTTAGGCAACACATTGAGGTCTTATATGAAAAGTATGTTCTCTATGTTACACTGTTTGGTTGTATTTGTAGTGGGTGTAATTTAGGATATTTATCCTTCTTATGCTGATCTCAGATCCTACAGCTAGACACAGTCTCCATAAAACACAGACATATACAGAAATCATCCTTTGGTAAAATGAGATGACTGAAGAAAAATTTTTGCATTGTGACACCATTAGGGCTGGAATATAGCCTAAGGAGAGAAAGAAAAAAAAAGTTATACAAAAATGTCCTTACTGAATGTCCCCCTCCCCAATTTTTTCTTAATGTATTTTTATTGATTTCAGAGAGGAAGGGAGAGGGGAAGAGAGAGAAATAGAAACATCAATGATGAGAGATAATCATTGATAGACTGCCTCCTGCATACCCCACACTGGAGATTGAGCCCACAACCTGGGCATATTCCCTGACCAGGAATCCCAGGAATCAAACTGTGACCTCCTGGTTCATAGGTCGATGCTCAACTACTGAGATAAGCAGGCAGGCCTGGCACCCCCCTCCCCCAATTTGGATAATAATAATGATGGTAGATATTTGCACGCATGCATGGTTACCTTGCTGTTGTAATATGCCACTTAGCTATCTCCTGGGATTTTATATTACTGATTTCTAGAACATTGATTATCTGAAATGAAGTCTATTCTAATCAATGGTGTTTTAATATCCAATATTTCCTATGAGGTTAAGGCCATCTTGTTTGCATTAGGTATAAATTCATTGTTCCTATCCAAAAATGGTCAGCTGGCACTTGAAAACCAAGTTCATTCCATTTGCAAGACTTGTTCTTCTGCACTTGGTGCCTCATATGTAAGCACTAGCAAGAGCCATTGGGCTCTTCCCACTGGCACACCAACCCAGCTCTTCACATGACGGGTGTGCACAGGCCGGAGTGCTAAGACTCATGGAAACCAGAGAGCCTTATGAATTACAGGCCTCATCACCACATGCAAGTCACTGTTTTGGAGGCTACAGATTTGTAGAAGAACTTGAATCAAGATGCACACACGCCCAGCAGGTGTGGCCCAGTGATTGAGCATTGACCTATGAACCAGGAGGTCACAGTTCCATTCCCAGTCAGGGCACATGCCTGGGTTTTGGGCTCTATTCCCCAGTAGGGGGCGTGCCAGAGGCAGCCAATCAATTATTCTCTCTCATCATTGATGTTTCTCTCTCCCTCGCCTTTCCTCTCTGAAATCAATAAAAATATATTTAAAAATAAATGAATAAATGAAAAAGAGGCACACATTAATAGGATGTTGCTATAGCTTAAACTTACTTGGATATATGTAAATATCCAAGTAAGTTTAAGCTATAGCAACATTATATATATATATCTCCAGAAGTGAATGTATACACACACTTTGAATAATTATAAAGGCAGTGTTTATTAAAATACATTTCATTTTCTAAAATTGACCTGTCAGCTGTTAAAGTGTGTGTATACATTTTTGGGGGACACTGTATAGATTCTCATTTCTGGAACTGCAAGAATATTACATTTTAGAACATGGCCAAGGTGCACCAAAAGCACAGACATAGGCTACTACCAGACACGATTTATTTTCAGAAAACAATGAGAATTCGTAAGAAATAAGGGAGACCTTTCACTATCCCTCTAGTGAGTAAACAAGGACCCGCTGGACCTGTGTTTCGGTTTTGAATGTAGGAAAGGAAGGGCCTTAACACCCCCATGTCGCCTCTTGAAAGCTCCTGACTCCAATCCCCCTTCCAAAGGCGAGCTCCGGATTTACAATCGCAGAGCAGATGAATGAATGAAGTGGGGGATGGGGCGGCGAGAGGCCACGCTGTTGCCTATTCAGCCGCAGAAAATAAGACGACTTACCAAGAACGCTTCCATCCCGGCCAAATGTTGAATCCCTGTATCATTCGCTGCCTCAGTCTGTGCGAGAAATCAATTTCCACTCAACCTTCCCCTCCTCTCGCGGGGTCCAGAGGAAGACAGAGCGGAGGGCAAAAGACTCCCGAGGTGCTCTTTATGCCCATCCTGGCTCCCAGGGTGAGCCCAGGGAGGGAGAGAGGGATGGTCCTCCAGGAGGGTCCGGGGTGGCCAGCGGGGCCCATTTCACAGCCCAAACACAAACCCCCCAACCGGGAGGATCAGCACCAGCCCCTCAGTCCCACAAGCAATGCCGTAAGGGACATAGGTTTCAAAGAGGAAAGGAAAGGAAGGTCCCGAATAGAGAGGGAGAAGGAGAGAGACACTTGGGATTTGGGTTTGGAGAAGGGATGGGGCCGTGGGGAGGGGAGAGAGCAGGAATCAGGATCTTACCCGACCAAGCAGGCAGGTGATCGTTCCTGCGGGGGGAAGGGGGGGAGCGGGGGATGCGAAAATGGCAAAAGAATGCGTCCTGCCGCCCAGCCGTTCCCAGCGCGCTCTCTCCCGGTGACCGTGCGGGAATCGGAGGGGGCGCAGGAGACTCACCTCGCCGCCTGCCACCTGCTCCGCGGGGACGGGCCCCAGAACCTCCAAAGCTCTCGCTTCTCAATCAATCTGGTGCTGAGGTTTCAGATGTGAGTCAATGGCTCTGAGTCTCGGGCTGCAGGATTCGCCGTGAAATCAGGACCTTGGAGAGCTCCCGCCGCTGCCGCAGCCGCCAGCGCTGCAGCCCCTGCGTTTCTATCCACCGAGCGGGGTCCCCTTGCCTGAGCCTTGGGCGCAGCGCCCCCGACTGCACTCGGCCTCATCGGCATCTTCAGCCATTCGACACCCCCTCCCCCCAAATGCTGAGGATCTGGTCATGCTAAAGTGATCACAGTGGCTCATGTGGGGGGGACAGGGAGGAGGGGGAGAGCGGCCGTGCTGGGCTTCTATATACTATGCTTCCCACAGTTGCTGGGTCTGGGAGGGTTCAAGGGAAATCCTAGGGAAATGTGCTGGTGGAAGACGATTAATCGTAATCATGAGGCTCCCAACGCAGGTAACTCTTAGAGCCCTGAGAGAGGGGAGCTCAGAGCAGGATTTCGGAGGCAGTGCCCTCTCGCATTCTCATTGGATCCTTCCCAGCAGCCTCAGTCACTCTTGCTGCTCTCTCTACCCGGATGCCTACAGCCTCGCTCACTAGTTCTCTCTCTAGCTCCTTGTCTTCAGCACAGCTTTTGACTCCTCTTTTGCAGATTTCCCTGTATTCCAGCTCCTGTTCTCTGGGGTTACAGGACTTGTGTTTTTCTCCACTCTGTGGGGAGGTGGAGTCTGTGAATTTTCATTTTGGCTGCCTAAAGATCATCCCATTAGAAGCCCCTTTCCACCACCACCGCTCCCCCCACCCCCAAACTAAAAGGCACCTCCTCCACATTTTGCTCCCCTTCCTTGGGGGTTCTTGGCTCTCCGGGTAACGGGTTTTGACTTGGTTACATGCCACCGGGAAGCGCTGATTATTTCAAAGTTCCACCAGCCTGCAGCTCGTCACCGTACCTTGCTTCGGGAGATCATGGAATGTCTGTGTGAATTCTGGAGATATTTGTTCTCCCTGTCATCGTGCTTCCGGCGATTTCCTTTGGTAAGTCCTCCTCTTTACGCATTATTAGAGACCCACTGCTGCTGTTATTTTTAATAAGCCATGTTTGTGCAAAAAAGTGCCATCATGAAACGCATTTCTGTGACTTTCAGAACTCAGAGATGTATGTGACCGTGTTTCCTTACTGTGTTAGTTGCTGCTGTGCTAAGATACAGCCCATGTAGCGAACCACCCCATCATCTTCTGCACTCTGTATTTATTTCGGCCCTCCCTCATTTATATTACAGGCTGTAGGAAACCTTATCCATCCCTCTCCACCTCCCATCAAGGCTCCAGGGCACACATTCTCATAACATTTTGGAAGGTTACATTTTATGCGTATCTAAGAGTGAGCCTAAGAGAGACCTGACAGTCGCAAGGTCTGGGAGAGATCGCTGGTCCCCAGTCATCAGAGGGTTGTTCATGTCAGTATGTGTTCATTGCAGCCAGTTACCTGACTGGGGGGTGGGGGCGGGGGGGAGGACAGTGCAAAGTGTGTGTCTGTGGGGTTTGCAGGGCACTGAAGCCCCTGCATGGGAAGGAGTGTGGGTTTTCAGTGCCTCATTGGTGTGTTCCTCACAACATCCCACATCATACATGGACACGTTATTTCGGGCACTGTCCTCCCATCCGGCCGTCCTACTGGGAGGCACCTTTCCGATTCTGTGAATGCAGCCGGGGGATGGCTCATTGGACCCGGAGTGCTCATTTCAGAGGGAGCGCGCTGTGCAAAGACCGCGTTGATGATCTTGGTTCTAAGACATTGAAAATCAGGGACAGACTTTACATGAAAAATGTAATTGCCTCCCTCCACACTTGTGCCACCCCCAGGCTCATTTTTAAAATAAGTATGTTCATATGTCAGAGTGTGTTTTTCTTTCCTTTTCTTTTGTGGGCTTAGCTGACAGTTCTGACTGTCATTAAATACCACCCCTGCATGCATCAGTACTTGCTGATGAACACTGAGGTTTAGGGGCTTTCTCTGACCCCCCCCCCCCATAAGAACAAGTTTCTGCAACATTTCTCTTCATTGGGGTGGATGGAGCTGAAAGCCTATTATTCAAGATTTTTTCCCCTTTCTTTCCTTCTTCCTTTTCCTATTAAAAAAAAAATTCTCAGAAAAAACTATTCCCCTCTCACCGCGACAACCCAAGTCATGCTTTTTTAATGCCAAAGCCGTTTTAGCCCCCACACGTAAGTGCTCCAGCTGCAGCCCAGCCCATCCCCCAGGCTCCGGCTCCGAGGGCTTCCCCCCTGGGTTCCCCCAGCGAGCGGGGCTGGGACTGGTCCGCACCCCGAGGCGCCCCCACCCACCCCTAGTTTCCACCTAGTCTCTCTCCGGGTCTGGTTGCCCCGCCTGACAAGTGCCAGGGGCGTCTGTGACTTCAGTTGGAGAAACCAGGGTTGAGCCTAATTCACTACATCCAGCCTCCTTCTCGGAGCTCTGCTGATGCGCAGGGGGTGGCGGGAGGGGGCCCCCAACTTTCAGCGCAGCCAGACCTTCTCTTCTCCAGCTGGTCTCCTCCAGAAAGACTCAGGCGTCCGGGTTTAGGTGAGTGCTTTTGGCCAGATTGTAGCCTGACTCTCAGGCTTGGGGAGGGGGGGATGCGCATCTCAGAAGCTCCTGCAGCCTAAGACGCTTTATTTAACCAGACCAGCAACAGGCGACCCTGCCCGCAGGCTCTCCGCAGCTCCCGGAGTCGCCAGAGCCACCTGGGCTCGGGGAGCGCC